TCATGACCTAACCCGAAATCAAGAGTCAGGTGCTTAACTGACTGAGCCTCCCAGGTGCCCCTTTGCATAATACATTTATTATTTTACTTCTTTGTATATTAATTTTAGGCATTGTCTATTGACTTCCTATTGTTGTAGCTAAGGATTTCGCTCTCATACCACTCCTCTCTCCTTTTGCATTCGCCTCATATATCATGGTTTTTAAATGAATTAGTAAATAATGTTTCTGTTATCACAAGTTTATAAGCTTAGTGCATTTTTGCAGAGTCAGGTCAGGCACTATGATTTTAATCTTTATCCTTAAGTTTCTGGTTGCCTTTTTTTTTTTTTTTAAAGATTTTATTTACTTATTTGACACACAGAGAGAGAAATCACAAGTAGGCAGAGAAGCAGACGGAGGGTGGGGGGGGGAAGCAGGCTCCCTGCCGAGCAGAGAGACCAATGCAGGACTCGATCCCAGGATGCTGAGATCATGACCTGAGCCGAAGACAGAGGCTTAACCCACTGAGCCACCCAGGCACCCCTCTGGTTGCCTATTTATTTCCTCTCCTTCTTGCTACCATCCATAGGCCTTCATTTTTTTCCGAAATGGGAGTAAGGGGTTCTGAGTTCCTTTCCCCTTTATCCCAGAGACTTTCCTTCTGGGAGTCTCTCCTCTTCTCTGAACCAGACCAGCAGAGCTCCTGGAATTCTTTGCTGGATCTGAGATTTAAACTCTTGCATCTGTCAGTTGTCATTTTGGACAGTTAACTTGAGTTAAATGATGCCTCAGGAACCCGACTGAGAGACGGTCTCGATCCTTCTGGTTGTGTGATCTGGACGGGCTTATTTATTCTGATGCCAGTTTCTCCGTCTTCTGGCCTCAGTAGGGTTGCACTGAGGTTGAAATGAGATTCTGTAAATGGGAGATGCTTTGGAAGAAGTGTGAATATAAGAGTGTGACATAAGCTTCTTGATGGTGTGGGTTTTTTTTTTTTTTATGTTGTTACCTACATTGTATATTGGAGGCCTTTGATATTAGCCTCACCTCTGTTTATTTTACTGATACATTCAGATACTTTCTGATACAAGATGCTCTTTTTCCCCAGGAAGAATGAGTCTAGAGAGTGGCGGAAGGGTGAAGGGAAGCCTCCTAGGGCGAAGTGGTGCAGACGGATGCAGTGGGGGAAATGTTTTAGGATGAGATTTCAGAGCATTTCTTCCCATATACTTACTTCATCTTATAGATAACTGTCATAGATAACTATGACAGATCTCTTATGTGCGAGAAGTACTTCCATATGTCTAAATAAAATGTGAAATCATACGCAAAAGCAACGTAAGTGAAATTTCCCATTGGTGCTGTATGTTTGTTAATATTATCTTGTTTATAATCCAAAATCAGTTGTTAATTTGAAATAACAGTCCATTGGCCCTCTCTCACACTGGGGGTGGATGGCATAGAGACTAGAGGCCCCATCTTATTCACATGAGGCCTCTATTATGAGTTTGGGATTCTTTCACTGCAAGAATCCCAAACTCACGGGCCTATGTGAAAAAGAGAGAGAGAGAGAATCTATTGCATACGGAACTGAGAAGTTATGGAGTAGGTCTTGCTGATCCAGGAGCACAGACTGTGTTATTATTAGGACCGTGTCTCTTGCCATTTCTTGATTCTGTCTCTCTGTGTGTTGGCGTTAGTTACTTCCAGGTGCACTCTTCAGGTGGTGGCCTGTACACTTCCAGGCTTCTGTCCTCACAGCTTAAGAAGAGAGCCCAGCATTAATCTTGATTGCATTGATTGGCAGGCTTTTGCCCTTCTGAATCACTTACTTCGGTCAGGTGGATTTGAGGCTCTGGCTGGCCAGCCCTGGATCCTGGAGAAGAGTCAGCTTCACTAGAAACACTTCAGTGGGGGCGCCTGGGTGGCTCAGTGGGTTAAAGCCTCTGCCTTCGGCTCAGGTCATGATCCCAGAGTCCTGGGATGGAGCCCCACATCGGGCTCTCTGCTCGGCAGGGAGCCTGCTTCCTCCTCTCTCTCTGCCTGCCTCTGCCTACTTGTGATCTCTCTCTCTGTGTCAAATAAATAAATAAAACGTTTAAAAAAAAATAAGAAATAGAAACACTTCAATGGAAAATGGTCAAAAGATACAAACTGCAGTTATAACAAGTACAGGGCTGTAACATATAGTATGATGATTGGAGTGAACAGTCCTATAGCAATCCTATGTATAACAATCCTATAACAACGCTGTAGGAGATACCAGGGCAGTTGTTAAGAGAGTAAAACCTAGGAGTATTTATTCATCACTAGAAGAATTTTTTCCCCTTTATTCTTTCCTTATTTCCTTTCTTTTTACTGTTTCTGTATGAGGAAATGGTTGTTAGCTGAACCTATTATCATTTCACAGTATGTGTCGATCAAACCAGCATGATGTATGCCTTAAAACTTACACAGTGATGTCATGCCAGTAAAACTAGAAACAAAACCAAAGTGTTCTTTCATAAAGACAATTGACATTTGCTCTTTTTTTTTTTAAAGATTTTATTTTATTTATTTTTAAGAAAGATTTTATTTATTTATTTGACAGAGATCACAAGTAGGCAGAGAGGCAGGCAGAGAGAGAGAGGAGGAAGCAGGCTCCCGGCTGAGCAGAGAGCCCAATGCGGGGCTCGATCCCAGGACCCTGGGATTGTGACCTGAGCCGAAGGCAGAGGTCTTAACCCACTGAGCCACCCAGGCACCCCAAGATTTTATTTACTTATTTGACAGAGAGAGACACAGTGAGAGAGGGAACACAAGCAGGCGGAGTGGGACAAGGAGAAGCAGGCTTCCCGCAGGGCAGGGAGCCCAATGTGGGGCTCGATCCCAGGACCCTGAGATCACGACCCGAGCCAAAGGCAGACGCTTAATGACTGAGCCACCCAGCTGCCCCGACATCTGCTCTGTCTTATGTACGTATAATTACTAGCAGCTGTAAGAAAGTGCTAATGGTGTTACTCGGTAATAAAACCTAAATTTTTTGCCTGGTAAGAAAAAAACCGAAAACAAAAACAGAAAAATGGGAGAAGGGGAGGCAGGCCCATGGTCTCTCAGAGAACGCCCAGAGCTCTGTCAGCAGAAGGGCAGTGGGATGTGCTTGCAAAACAACACGTCTGCCATCAGAACCCCACCCCCTATCCCCGCACCGAAGCACCCAGCAGATGGCCCTTCACCAGGCAAGGGCTCAGCGGTGCCTTCTGCATGGAGTTGGTGGTATCGCAAGAGCCTAGAAGTGTTTTATGGTTGACGAAGTGAATTTCCCATTTTTTTCTTTCTCTTGTCTGAATCAGGAACTTCCCCCAGTGTTACATGTTTATGTTTAATTCAATGTACTAACCTTGAAAAACTCGAATTTCTCTGTAAGGGCTAGAGATTCACATGTCTCCTTTAAGTTTTCCAATGCTTTTACTAACTGGGTTTGCTGTGTCGCCAAATTCTGTTTTATTATTTGTTTCAAGAAATAACAAGTTCTACTCTGGGGTGGAAACTTTTTAAGTTGTGATTATATTTTTGGACTAGTAATGTTGTAGCAGTTTCTGTCTAAAAGCATTCTTTGAATATACACCAAAATGTTGACAGTGTTTAATAGAGTGTGATAGGCAGTTTTTTCTTCTTGTTTTCCATTTTTTCTACCACGAACATACTATTTATATTTCTGAAAAGCAATGCTATTTAAAATAGTCATTAATTTACCACATTTAAAAAAAAGATTTTATTTATTTATTTGACTGACAGAGATCACAAATAGGCAGAGAAGCAAGCAGGGGCAGGGCAGGGGAAGCAGGCTCCCCACTGAGCAGAAAACCTGATGCGGGGCTCTATCCCAGGACCCTGAGATCATGACCTGAGCCGAAGACAGAGACTTAACCCACTGATCCACCTAGGTGCCCCAATTTACTACATTTTTTGTGTGTGTACCATATGCTATGCTAATTTCTAGGAACAGTGAGACGAGACAGGAAAGGTCATAGCCTCATAGACCTTGTATTTCTGAGGATGAGAAAGATAAACTGTTATACAGGTAACTAAATAGAAAAATACAGATTTTAATTAATTCTACAAAGGGAAAGATGTGATGGCGAATAAATAACAGAAGAAACCTAATTTAGGTTGGCTGATTGGGAAAGGCCTTCCTGATAAGGGAAGGGGAGAACCACACAGACAGCCAGAAGGATCATCCAAGACCTAGTAAGTGCAAAGGCCCTGGGGCAGAAAAGAGCATGATTTGTTCTCTGCAGCTGGCAGAAGTTCTGCTGTGTCAGTATTTCTTAGTTCATATAAATATTAGATTGAGTCCTATGAGATTGCTGCTTTTGTAGGGTCAAATGGTTGAAGAGCAGTAGTTTTATATAGTTCCATCCATGCTGTGGTTGAGCAGTCCTGTTGTTGGCCTGCAAGTGACTGAAGCTCTCTGGGCTGCCCTTCCTCCCCTGTAAAATGAGTTCGATTGATGGTTTTTCAGATGCCTTTCTGTCGCTGACATTTTATGATTTTAGTCTGGCCCAGGAGGAGGTGAGGCAGGTGAATTGCCTAAAGCAGAAAATCTAAGGAGGCTCTCGCCCTGCCCTTGCACAACCCCGAGCATGAGAGTCTCCTTCAGTTTTGTAGCCCAGGCTTAGCTCCTACCACCGACACTATCCCACCCCCACCCCCGGCCCAGGCCTGATTCGAACTCATTTCCTGGTTCCCGTGGAACAATGACTTTGCTGATGTATAATCTGAGTTCCCTCGCTGAAGTGTACAGATGGCGTTATCTAAACAAGCCAAGGCTTGTGGCATCTGAGTCACATTTTCTGCCCTTATGCTTAACTTATTTTTCGTATCTGTATTCTCTGTGTGTGAATTAATTCACTGTGTAGATAGGCAGTTCAGAAGGCAACCTTACATATATCCACATTTAGCCGGGGGAATTCTTTCTCTGGTCTGCAGCAGGAAGCCTGGTACCAATGTGGCCATGTTTGATGTTGTTCTCCTTTAGATCAGTCCAGAGTGTTTGTGAAGGTGTTCACTGAAATCGACCGGATGCCCCAGCTGCTTGCCTACTACTACAAATGCCACAAGGTGAGGAGCTGGGGGTGCTTACGGTTGTGGAATGCTCCCATGCTGGGCTGCGGAGCTCCAATTTGCCAGCTCCAAGGAGGAGACACTTGCCTCTGTGCGCTCTGGCTTTTTGCTTCTGATTCGCCAGTAGGGGGCGTTCTCAGTCCAACCCGTGGATTCATTTTCGTGGCACTTGGAAAACACAAGCCCTCTCTTTCAGCCTCTTGTAGGTTAATAGCTGAATTTCATTTACACACTGACAAGTTGTTTAAATTTTTTGCATTTTTGTCTTTCAAGGGAGAGTCGTGTCTTAGGCCTTATTATGCCCTCAGGAAGCCTGAAGAATTTTTTTGTTTTCTAGAGTTGTCGACATGAGCTGGAAACCTGACCGCTTTCTGGGCTGACTGAATTCCTCTAGGTCCAGTGCCTGTGTGTCTTAAGCGGCGCTGTTGGCCATGGGGCTCAAGGGCACACGTGCTCACACCCTGAGGTCTTTTCCAGAGAGTGTAGCATGCCTGGTGGAAGGACCTTGGCAGGCTTTGGGGTGAGGTGAAAACAGCAGGGAGCACCCGGAGGGCAGCGGAGTCACACTCAAGTTGTTGATCAGAGCAGGCACCGAAGTCTTGTTTCCCTCGCTTTTGTTTGCAGTGAATGGTCATCAGGGGGCATCCGCTCGCCCTGGGGAGTGGGCAGCTCGATGTGGCCTGCCTTGCTGGGGTGGCAGGGCGGCATATCCTGTTTCCTCAGCGAGGTCCCCTCTGTTCTGCCTCTGCAGGCGCAGCTCTTAGCGACCTGGCAAGAACTGTGCCACAGTGACCTCCCCCTGGACCGGCAGCTCACAGGGTTCTACGATGCCTTGCTCGGGGCCTGGCACACGCAAATCCAGTGGGCAACGCAGGTAACCGCTCGTGTGGGTCCTAGGGGATGGGTGCCTGCCCTGGGAATGGTGTCTCCCCACTTTAATTGCTGCTCGGAACATCTCCCTGTTTGCTGCCCTCACCAAAGGAGTTAAAGATAAGCCTCGAAACCCAAGGCGGTAAAACCTTTAAGTCTCCTTAAGACTCTTGTTATCGTGTTTCTCTGTATCTTAAATAGAATCTAATGTGACAGCCTTGCATGGTGTTTGGCCAGGGAGCCTGTGGAATTCCTGAAGCCCATTATCTCCTGATCTAGAAGCGGGAGGCCCTTGGTCAGGTGCTGTTTGACCGAACAAGATTGTTTTTATCTTAACTTCAGGTAAAATGTACCTGGCCTAGAGTTCATTTCCCTTATTCACACAGTACGCCCAGAGCTGGAGGAAGAGTGCAGTTTGAAAGGTGCCCTCTGACTTAGGGGACTGATGGGGCAGAGGAACTTCATTGCCAGTGGACACTTGCCGTCATTTATTTTCCCAGAGCCTCTTGGCGTGGCATTTTCCGCCTTCCAGGGTATGAACCACTGTTCCTTTGTCTTGATGCCTGCAGGTGCCCCAGATCCTCTTTCCTTCTTTGAGGGCAGAAGAGGCTGTGACTCACTGGGCCTGTGTGGCTTGATTTTTGTCTTTTTGCTTTCAGAGTGAGTTGTGAGCTCGTCCTACAGTGTGCATCTGTTCCCCATTGGAATGAGCTCAGCTGTAACTGGAGAGAACCCCCCAGACAGGGTTGTGTCCCTCCCGCTGGTTAAAGCGCTCTGCTCCAACCCCCGTTGCTTTCCCCTGGAGCCAGCAGAACTCAGTTAGGTCACAACAACACAAAACCCAGCCTCCTGTAGTCGTTCCTTGGCGTTTATGTGAACGTCGCTTCTCAGTGACCCTGTCGATGCCCACTTATTTCTGTGCCCTTGCTTCTTCTGCTGTCTCTCATGTCGTGAGGATAAAACCAGTTCACGGCCACATGTGCAAATGCCCTTCATCATCTCAGAAAAAGGATTTAGACTTTTCAGACTTTTGTTCAGGCCTCATTCTAAATTTTGTAAGGTGTGAGTTTGTGCTAGTCTATACCTTTTGTCTGTGGCCCATTTCCTTTTCAAGAGGTAAGCATGATAAGAAGCCGTCATCTCCTGAAGCTTAGTACAATGCAAAAGAAAACAAAAGACACCACAGTAAATGTTTCCCCTTCTGATTTACCCCCCAGTATTTTAATATGAAAAACTTCCGACATATGAAAGAGTTGAAAGGATTGTATAGTGAATGCCCATATATCCACTTCGTGCACTCTGCAATGAATATTTCACTATGTTTGCTTTATTATAAATCTATCCATCTCTCCATGTATCTGTCCATTCATTTTTCTTATTTTTTGATTGATTTCAAGGAACTTGTAAACATCATTTACTTCTAAACATACATATTAGTAACTAGAGCTCAATATTTATTTCCCTTATTCTTTTGAGATAAAATTGTGAAATGTACTGATCTTAAGTATGCCAGTTGATTTATTTATTTATTTTATTTTTAATTTTTTTATTTTTAAAGACTTCATTTATTTATTTGTCATAGAGAGAGAAGCAGAGAGAAGCAAGAGTGAGCACAGGCGGACAGAGTGGCAGGCAGATGCAGAGGGAGAAGCAGGCTCCCTGCCAAGCAAGGAGCCCAATGTGGGACTCGATCCCAGGACTCTGGTATCATGACCTGAGCCGAAGGCAGCCGCTCAACCAACTGAGCCACCCAGGCGTCCCAGTTGATTTATTTTTGACAAATTCTATGTAACCTAATCTCTGTTAAGATGTAGAGAACATTTACCATCACTCTAGAAGTTTCTCTTACTCCTTCCTGGTCGGTCTTCATACCAGTACCCCTGATGGCAACCACTGTTCTGGTATTTTCCCACCGTAAATTAGTAGCCTGTTAACTGAATTTTCTGTAGATGGAATTGTATGGTATGTGTTCTCTCTGTAAGGCCTCTTGGATTCAGCATGTTTGTGAAATTTATTCCTATTGCGTGAATCGGTACTTTGTTCCTTTTTATTGCTAAATACTGTTTCGTGGCATGACTAGACCACAGTTTGTTTATTCATACTTACATTGAGGAACACTTGGGATGGTTTCAGTTTGGGGTTATTACGAATGAAGCTGCTAATGAGCATTGTTCTCTAAGTATTTTTGTGGATGCACATGTTCATATCTCTTGGGTAAATACCTAGGAGTGGAATTGCTGGGTCATCAGGCGGGTGTATGTCTAGAGTTATAAGAAACTGCCAGACATTTTCCCAAAGTGGTTGTACTTTTTATACTCCCACAACAAGGATGCGAGAGTCCCGATTGCCCCACATCTTTGCCAATGGTAGGTGATGTCAGTCTTTCTTAAGTTAGCCATTCTGGTGGGTGTGTTGTAGTATCTCAGTGTGGTTTTAATTTGTATTTTCCTGATGACTAAGGCTGGTGAGCACCTTCTCAGTGTACTTATATCTTCCTTTGTGAGGTGTCTGTTCAGATCTTCGGGCCATTACAGAAAATTGGTTTATGTGCCTTTTTCTTATTGAGTTGTAGGAGTTCTTTCTATAGTTCAGATAAAAGTCCTTTGCCAGGGACACCTGGGCGGCTCAGTGGGTTAAGCCGCTGCCTTTGGCTCGGGTCATGATGCCAGGGTCCTAGGATCGAGCCCCACATCAGGCTCCTTACTTGGCAGGGGGCCTGCTTCTCTCTCCGCCTCTGCCTGCTTGTGTGATCTCGCGCTCTCTCTCTCTCTTTCCCTCTGACAAATAAATAAATAAAATCTAAAAGTCCTTTGCTAGCTATATTTTGTAGATACTGCTTTCCAGTCTGTGGCTTAAACAGAGGTATTGATTTTGATGAGGCTTCGTTTATCCAGGTTTTTTTTTTTTTATTGTTTTGTAAGAAACTATCACAAACCCCCAGATTGCTGTGTTTTCTTCTAGAAGCTTATTTACTTTTTACAGTAACGTCTATGGTCCGTCTTGAAATTGGTCTTGTTGCATAGTGTAAGGTCAGGTCAGATTGTTGTCAGGTGGGCTCTTGAGGTTGATTTCTGAAGCCTTAGTCGATAAGTTGGTAAGTCTGGGAACTTTGTGGTGGTTCTTTGACCCATGACCAGAGAATCCTTTCGCCACATCACTTCCGAGGACCAGGGGACACCTCTGAGTGTAAGCGACCCAGCGTGTTTTAATTGAAACGCGTAAAAAAAATGCTACTGAAGGTCTAGGATCTGCCTTCGTAGCTTCAGCGGACCCACCGGTTAGAGGTCCTTAGAACAGAGTGACTTAGTTTAATTCTTCCCCTGCCCCAGGTCGTGGGAGTAGGAGATGAGAGTGAAGGAGATCCTCACCACGTAGTCTCTCTTCACCAGACGTGGTGAGGAGTCAGGATACCTTTTTCTAGACAAGGTCCATTTTCCTTTCTTCCGTGGGTCCCTTTTTTTTGCAGCAAAAGGTGTCTTCTATCAGATGCGGACATTGGGCTGAGTGGCGTCTGAAGCTCTTGATGCTTCTCTGACATTTGCCTGTTTGGTGACAGTGAAGGGACTGTGTTGGCTGGAGACAGGAGGGTTCGTGTTGGTGCAGCTGTGTGTGTGGGCAGCGGAGCCACACGGCAGACGAACTGTGGAGCCAAGGCAGGAGCGTGGCTTTCTCAAGAAGGTAGTGAGAGTCTCGAGCCACAGACTGAGTGATGACGTTGCCATTTTAAGGATGATTTTGGTGTCAGAACAATCACCTGTGTAGTTTCCCTGCCCAAAAGGCTTAACCCTGAATGCTGTCATGAGGAAACACGCAGACGCATTCAAATGCAAGACCATTTCGTGAAACAGTTGTCTTAGATTCTTCAAAAATGTCAGTGTGGTGAAAGAAAAAAAAAAAAAAGTTGGGGCGCCTGGGTAGCTCAGTTGTTAAGCGTCTGCCTTCAGCTCAGGTCATGATCCCAGGGTCCTGGGATCGAGCCCCACATCGGGCTGCTTGCTCAGCAGGAAGCCTGCTTCTCCCTCTCTCACTCCCCTGGCTTGTGTTCCCTCTCTCGCTGTGCCTCTCTGACAAATAAATAAGTAAAATCTTAAAAAAAAAAAAAAAGTTGAGTTGATTTTAGATTAAAGGAGACAAAAAAAGAATGACAACTAAATGTAATTGCATGGTCCTTGATTGGATTCTGCATGATGACAAAAAAGCCATATAGGGATAGTTGGGGAAGTTTGAACTTGGACCATAAAGGTATTATTTCAAGATTAAGTTTAATTACTTGTAGTGTTGTGATGTAAGAGGATACCCCCATTTTGTTGCTGCTGTTGTTTTTAAAGAATTTATTTTTGAGTAATCTATACACCCAACATAGGGCTCAAACCTATAACCCCAAGATCAAGAGTCGCGTGCTCCACTGACTGAGACAACCAACTGCCCCAGGATGGCCCTGTTTTTAGGAGGTACATGCTGAGGTGCCTGCATTAGACCTGTGTTAGAGAGAGAAATAAAGCAGTTGTGGCAGGATGTTAGTAACTGATGAATCTTGCAATTTTAAATATTTAAAATGTAAATAAGTCTTAAAAATAACATTTAAAAAATAACGAATTTGGAGGTAGTATAGGCAGTGATCTGATGAGGAAAGGTTGGAGACAAGGCAGGAACTTTGTCTGGCCTTGCATGATGGAAACGTAGTAAAAGGCATCCAGTTCAAGAAGAGTGGACAGTTGTTAAGGCCTAGTAACTGATAACAGAAAAGTCCGAGGGGAGATTTTCATTGTGTCGGAAGGGAGAGGTTACTGTCAGAAATACACAAGTTGAGGGAAGCAGGTCTGGGAAGGTCACGGGGACAGTAATGAATTCTAGTTTGGGACACTTAAATGCCAAGGAAGAGTGGCCCGCCCCAACTGTGTTGTACAGGAGACGGGTGGAAGACTGTCGCTCAAGGAATACAAATTGGGGAGGTTCCCATAGTTTCATCATTTCATTCCTCGTTGGCTTGTTTGGTTCTTTGTC